TCCTCCCTTCCTTCCTTCCTTCCTTCCTTCCTTCCTTCCTCCCTCCCTCCCTCCCTCCCTCCCTTCCAACAGGAACTTGTAACATACCTCTTCCCTTAAGAACCTTCTGGAATTCTTGATGCTGCTCTCTTTGGGGTTTTCTAAAGGTTCATTCACATCCTGTTTTTTCCATGTCTTGGGGTCCAGATACCAAGCCCCATATCTGATCTTCTTCCATCTGGATTGGCAAGGGTCCTGGGAGAAGAGAAAGAGGGAAGAAACGTCATTTTCATGTGCTCAAAGGTTAGGAGTTGACCTATTCTATTCAGTCTCCCTTCCTGCTGGTAGCAAACACAGGAGCTGAAGACTCAACCACCAACTGTAGGAGAAGAGCAGGAAGAGCTGGGGTGATGATGGAGTGAAGCACATCATTAGCTTGGGGTCGTTACGTTGTCACAAAGGGTTGGAATCCAGCCTCTCCTGAATTCCGTTGACTCTTATCTGGGCCCCAATTTAATCTTGAACTTCAGTTGACCAGATTCTTGTGTATGGGCCTAAATAAATGTTCGGTGCTGCAATTTAATGGATGGGTCCTGATTCTTTGCGCCTGACACTAGCTCCGCAAACAACAGAAAGTAGCAGCACTGAAAAACTGTAGGGAATCTGCTTGACTCCAGTTTGCATCAGTGGCCTTTCCCCCAGACTCCCAGTGAGTATCTGTCCCATCAAATAGGAAAGAGCAATGTAGACGGATATGGAATATATGGAAAAATACAGCTAGCCTATAAAATAATAATAATAATAATAAAGTTGGAAGGGACCTTGGAGGTCATCTAGTCCAACCCCCTGCTCAGGCAGGAAACCCTATGCCATTTCAGACAAATGGCTGTCCAGTCTCTTCTTAAAAACTTCCAGTGTTGGAGTATTCACCGCTTCTGGGGGCAGGTTGTTCCACTGGTTAATTGTTCTAACTGTTAGGAAGTTTCTCCTTAGTTCTAGGTTGCTTCCCTCCTTGATTAGTTTCCATCCGTTGCTTCTTGTCCTGCCTTCAGGCGCTTTGGAAAATACTAATGTAATTGAGCCTGAAATTACAGTCACAAGATGTTCTGATTGTTAAGGGGGTCACCACATGACCGCGCCCTATTTTATAATCTTTTTTTGCAGCAGTCATTAAGCGGTGCTAAGCGAACACCGCGGTTGCTAAATGAGTCCATTGTATCCAATGGGTCTTTTTGGCTAGAAGTAAATGTTGGCTTCCAGCAAAGAAACATCATAAGTCTTAGTCAACTGCAAAAGGTCATAAATGTGAGACAGTTGCCAAGCACCCAAAATGGGATCGCATGACTGCAGACTGGCCCTGGCCTTTGGAACTTTGAAACTGGGTCATAAGTAGCTCTAGGAAGGAACATCATAACATACCGGTTGTAAGTCAAGAACTACCTATATCAGGGGTAGGCAACCTTGGCTCTTTTATGACTCGTGGACTTCAACTCCCAGAATTCCTGAGCCAGCCATGCTGAGGGGAAAGGGAGAGGTTTCCAAGCTGAGCCATGCTGGCTCAGGAATTCTGGGAGTTGAAGTCCACGAGTCATAAAAGAGCCAAGGTTGCCTACCTCTGGCCTAGGCCGCTTTATGACTCGTGGACTTCAACTCCCAGAATTCCTGAGCCAGCATGGCTCAGCTTGGAAACTCTTCCTTTCCCCTCAGCATGGCTGGCTCAGGAATTCTGGGAGTTGAAGTCCACGAGTCATAAAAGAGCCAAGGTTGCCTACCCCTGACCTATATGAAGCTTCTCTATTTCGTCTTTGCAAGCTAAATGTCTTCAGTTTTCCCAAGCAAAAGTCAATCAATCAGAATAGAGCCGGAAGGGACCTTGGAGGTCTTCTAGTCCAACCCCCTGCTCAAGCAGGAGTCCCTATACCATTTCAGATAGATGGCTGCCCAGTCTCTTCTTAAAAACCTCCAGTGATGGAGCACCCACAACTTCTGGAGGCAAGCTGTTCCACTTGGTTAATTGTTGTCGCTGTTAGGAAGTTTCTCCTTATTTCCAGGTTGCACCTCTCCTTGATTAATTTCCATCCATTGTTTCTTGTCCTCCCTTCTGGTGCTTTGGAAAATAAGTTGACTCTCTCTTCTTTGTGGCAGCCTCTCAAATACTGGAATACTCATTGTTGTGTTCTTTGTATTCCCCCCCTTAATCCCCTATGCATATCCTGATCACCCATTAAGGGTGATTGCCCTTCACCATTGATCGCCCATTAAGGGTGATTGCCCTTCACCATTGATCGCCCATTAAGGGTGATTGCCCTTCTCCATCTGCATACAGTTTCATGCCCGTTGCTGGTTGGCTAACTAGCAACAGGGTCNACAACTAAGCAGTTGTGTGTATGTTATGGTTAGAGACAGCAATAAAAAACTGGTGGAAGAAAACCTTCCAACCGTTCTTGGGTGACTCTGGGGTTTTTCTAGGCGTACCCAGCAGGTCTGTTGGTTACAACTACGTTGTTTATTCTGATTTTCGACCAATTGCAAAAAAAAAAAAAAAAAAAAAAGAGGCAAAGGATTTTGTAGGGAATCCTCCCCAAGTATTGCTCGGAAAATTTCGTTCAGGTACATGTCCTCAGAAAGAATTCCTATTCAAATAACATCACGGATAGAGCTATTGTCGGCTTCCAATCTCTTGGTCACTGGATTCTTTGTGTTAGATTCCCACCATTCATGAATAATCTTCTTGGAGGTCTTTGCATCTCTGGGGTTCTTCCTTGGTGTTCTTCAAAACCCCCACTTTGGGTTCAAGCCCTTTCGGTTCCTCCAGCACCCGCTGCAAAAACTGAACCCAAACACACAATTTCACCGGCTTGTTCCAAGGAGCAGCTTTTGACACTGAGCCATCTGAGTAGGGATGCTGAAGGCTTTGGGCCAGACATGTCAAACACAAGGCCCGGGGGGCGGATGCGGCCCACGAAGTGGTTTCATGCGGCCCGCGAAGCCATCCTGGAAACAGTGAGGGAACGGCCCCCGCTGCCTTGGCCCTGGCCCAGGCCAGCCAGGAGCCAATGTACAATTTTATGGTGGCCATCTATGCTGAAACGCATTCAGTCTTAGCTCCACAAGGCTGTCCAGAAACAGCAAGGAACCAGCCCCTGCCACGTCACCACCGGCCCCTGGGTGCATGCTGGGGAGGTGTCACCCTTTGTGAGGAATGAAGAAATGGACCATGCCTTGGCGCTTGCCATCCTGAAAACAGTGAGGGAACGGCCCCCGCTGCCTTGGCCCTGGCCCAGGCCGGCCGGGAGCCAATGTACAATTTTGTGGTGGCCATCTATGTTGAAACGCATTCAGTCTTAGCTCCACAAGGCTGTCCAGAAACAGCGAGGAACCAGCCCCTGCCACGTCACCACCGCCCCCTGGGTGCATGCTGGGGACGGGTCACCCTTTGTGAGGAATGAAGAAATGGACCATGCCTTGGCGCTTGCCCCGGTCCCACCCCCCCTCAGATCTGTCCCACTCCTGCCCAGGCCCCCACAGGCACCCTTGACACGAACGATGTAGAACTGGCCATGCCCACCCAGTAGGCCACACCCACTCCATTCACGCCCACCCAGTAGGCCACACCCACCCTGGCCACACCACCAGCCCCCCCCCCGAGGGCAACCGCAATGCTGATGCGGCCCTCAATGAAATTGAGTTTGACACCCCTGCTTTGAGCCAAGGGATAGGGAAGCAGAAAGCTGCCCTGGTCTAAAACCAGGCAGGGAAGAGAAGCAGGACAGGTCAGTAGCTATAAAGGGAGGCCCTTTGGTTTTGCAATCATGTTTGAACGAAAAGGAGGAATATAGGCTAGAAGGAGGCAGAGAATGGCAACTTGAAGCTCTCCGGGTATCTGGGGCGCTGACCGTGCTGGCTACAACCCATTGTAAAGAGATGCTGGAACATCTGGAGAGCAACAGAATTGGGTTTACTGCTAGGTGAGTGGGAGGCATTTAAAGTTTACCTCTGGTATCCGATAACCTTTTTCTACCAGAAATTCCCGGAAAGCATGAGTTCCATGAAGTTGTATGAGCTCGGCATCCTGCAAGAATTATTCAAAAATTTAAATAAGGATTCCTTCCCTCCCTCCCTCCCTATTCCCCTTCCCTTCCTTCCTTCCTTCCTTCCTTCCTTCCTTCCTTCCTTCCTTCCTTCCTTCCTTCCTTCCTTCCTTCCATCCACCCATCTTCCTTCCTTCCTTCCTTCCTCTCACTTCTTTCTTCCCTTCCCTTCTTCCTTTTCTCTTCTCCCCTTCACTTCCCTCCTCTCCTCACCCCTCCTTTCCCCTCCTTTCCCCCCTCCCTCCCTCCCTTCCAACAGGAACTTGTAACATACCTCTTCCCTTAAGAACCTTCTGGAATTCTTGATGCTGTTCTCTTTGGGGTTTTCTAAAGGTTCATTCACATCCTGTTTTTTCCATGTCTTGGGGTCCAGATACCAAGCCCCGTATCTGATCTTCTTCCATCTGGATTGGCAAGGGTCCTGGGAGAAGAGAAAGAGGGAAGAAACGTCATTTTCATGTGCTCAAAGGTTAGGAGTTGACCTATTCTATTCAGTCTCCCTTCCTGCTGGTAGCAAACACAGGAGCTGAAGATTCAACCACCAACTGTAGGAGAAGAGCAGGAAGAGCTGGGGGGTGGAGTGAAGCACATCATTAGCTTGGGGTCGGTACGTTGTCACAAAGGGTTGGAATCCAGCCTCTCCTGAATTCCGTTGACTCTTATCTGGGCCCCAATTTAATCTTGAACTTCAGTTGACCAGATTCTTGTGTATGGGCCTAAATAAATGTTCAGTGCTGCAATTTAATGGATGGTCCTGATCCTTTGCGCCTGACACTAGCTCTGCAAACAACAGAAAGTAACAGCACTGAAAGACTGTAGGAAATCTGCTTGACTCCAGTTTGCATCATGGAAAAATACAGCTAGTCTATAAAATAATAATAATAATAATAATAATAATAATAATAATAATAATAATAATAATAATAATAATAATAATAATAATAATAATAATAATAAAGTATTTTCCACATTTCCATAAATGTGGAAAATACAAATGTAATTGAGCCTGGAATTACAGTCACAAGATGTTCTGATTGTTAAGGGGGTCACCACATGATCGCACCCTATTTTATAATCTTTTTTTTTTTGCAGCAATCATTAAGCGGTGCTAAGCAAACACCGCGGTTGCTAAATGAGTCCATTGTATCCAATGGGTCTTTTTGGCTAGAAGTAAATGTTGGTTTCCAGCAAAGAAACATCATAAGTCTTAGTCAACTGCAAAAGGTCATAAATGTGAGACAGTTGCCAAGCACCCAAAATGGGATCGCATGACTGCAGAGAGGCCCCGGCCTTTGGAACTTTGAAACTGGGTCATAAGTAGCTCTAGGAAGGAACATCATAACATACCGGTTGTAAGTCAAGAACTACCTATATCAGGGGTAGGCAACCTTGGCTCTTTTATGACTCGTGGACTTCAACTCCCAGAATTCCTGAGCCAGCCATGCTGAGGGGAAAGGGAGAGGTTTCCAAGCTGAGCCATGCTGGCTCAGGACTTCTGGGAGTTGAAGTCCACGAGTCATAAAAGAGCCAAGGTTGCCTACCCCTGACCTATATGAAGCTTCTCTGTTTCTTCTTTGCAAGCTAAATGTCTTCAGTTCTCCCAAGCAAAAGTCAATCAATCATAATAGAGCCGGAAGGGACCTTGGAGGTCTTCTAGTCCAACCCCCTGCTCAAGCAGGAGACCCTATACCATTTCAGATAGATGGCTGTCCTTTCTCTTCTTAAAAACCTCCAGTGACGAAGCATCCACAACCTCTGGAGGCAAGCTGTTCCACTGGTTAATTGTTGTCGCTGTTAGGAAGTTTCTCCTTATTTCCAGGTTGCACTTCTCCTTGATTAATTTCCATCCATTGTTTCTTGTCCTCCCTTCTGGTGCTTTGGAAAATAAGTTGACTCTCTCTTCTTTGTGGCAGCCTCTCAAATACTGGAATACTCATGTCCCCACTAGTCCTTCTTTTCTCTACACTGGCTAAACCCAAATCCTGCAACCCTTCTTCATGTGTTTTTGTCTCCAGGCCCTTGATCATCTTAGCTGCTCTTCTCTGCACTCTTCCCAAAATGTACTGTACATTTGTTAAGTCAAGGTTTAACGAATAATCTTCATCAAAGCACTGTGTACCTGCATGCTAGACTAGGCCACCCACCTTGGAAGATTCAATGTCCTGATCAAGTTTCTTTCTAATAGCCTGAGAAGGTAGCATCCGAAGGTGCTTCTTTAGATCCATTGGTAGATCACGGATTTCCTCAACACGAAGCGGATGAAACATCGGGACGGTGGTCTCGTAACCCGCATCAAACATACTTAGGACCGTCTCTTCATCTATGTTGTACTTCTCTCCGCCCTAAAAGAGGAACTCAAATTGAGCACAAGTATCAAACTGTCACATCTTTTTTATCCAGCAAAAGATCTATTTTGTTCTTGATTTTTTTTTTCACTTACAACCATAACTGAGCCAAAAATTTCCATCGCTAAGCGAGACAGTTGTTAAGTGAGCTTTGCCCCCATTTTACAACCTTGCTTGTCGCAATTGTTAAGTGAATCACTGCAGTTGTTAAGTTAATAACACGGTTGTTAAGTGAATCCGGCTTCCCCATTGACTTGGCTTCTCAGATGGTCGCAAAAGGGGATCACGTGATCGTGGGACACTGCCGACCGTCACAAATACGAGTCCGTTCCCAAGTATTTGAATTTTGATCACGTGACCATTGGAGATGCTGCAATGGTCGTAAGTGTGAAAAACGGTCACAAGCCACTTTTTCCAGTGGCTTGTGACTAAATGAATGGTTGCAAATCAAGGACTATCTGTATGTATTTATCTCTAAAGTAAAATGGTAAACAAGTTTTGAAATAGGCTGCTTTTTAAAAAGCAGATAGGAATCAATTCTGGTTTCCAAAACTACAAAATACTTCAGATTTTATATAAATCTGCCAGCCAAGAGCTTAACAGATATACAGCTATAAAAATATAGCTAGGTACTGCTGAAGATTTAAGTAATTATTCAGGTCTAGCTGCCTGTTAACACATGAATTCACAAAGCCAACGCCTCTTTTCTTAATCTGCAAAGGGGAAAATATTTTTTTTTCTGGAATTGCTGTGGATATAAATATCTGATCTGAAATAGATAAGAAATGGACAGGAACTCCTGGAACAAATCACTGCAATAGGATAGGAGAAGAGGTAAAGGCCAGTCCAACAGCCCTTTTTCCAGCAGTGTGGTCTGGAATATGTTGGACTACAACTCCCATAACCTCATAGATGCTAGCTTTTGATTATAGTTCTTGAAGTCCAATTCCATTGGGGGGTTTCTTTGGAGCAGAAGAATCTGGCCTGGGAAAGAACATTCCACGCAAATTTTCTCCAGCTTGGCCCCTTTAAGGCACGTGGACTTCAACTCCCAGAATTCCCCAGCCAGCCATGATGTCTGGGGAATACTGGGAACTGAACTCCACATGCCTTAAAGGGGCCACACTTGAGAAACACCGCCATAGAAACTGTTTGACTTACTAGAGCATTGAATCCGTCACAAAGTTCTTTGGTGACTCTCTTGATATTCTCGTCGAGGGGAGGGACGTAATTCAACCTGGCCTTCAGTTCTCTTGCTGCCACATTTGTGGGGGAGAACCAGGTGTAAGGAACCTTGCTTTCTGCGTCCTTGCTGTAAGAGACATTTGCATATCTGTATTGATCGAGCAGCAAATCCTATCATGTTTAATAATAATAATAGTAAAGTTGGAAGGAACCTTGAAGGTCATCTAGTCCAACCCCCTGCTCAGGCAGGAAACCCTATACCATTTCGGATAAATGGCTGTCCAGTCTCTTCTTAAAAACTTCCAGTGTTGGAGCATTCACCGCTTCTGGAGGCAGGTTGTTCCACTGGTTAATTGTTCTCACTGTCAGGAAGTTTCTCCTTAGTTCTAGGTTGCTTCTCTCCTTGATTAGTTTCCATCCTTTGCTTCTTGTCCTGCCTTCAGGTGCTTTGGAAAATAGCTTGACTCCCTCTTCTTTATGGTAGCCCCTGAGATATTGGAACGCTGCTATCATGTCCCCCCTCGTCCTTCTCTTCATTAAACTAGACATACCCAATTCCAGCAGCCGTTCCTTATATGCTTTACCCTCCAGTCCCCTGATCATCTTTGTTGCTCTTCTCTGTACTCTTTCTAGAGTCTCAACATCTTTTTTACATCGCAGTGACCAAAACTGGATGCAGTATTCCAAGTGTGGCCTTACCAAGGCATTGTAAAGTGGTATTAACCACTTTACTGTGGTTTAATGAGCTGTTCTTCCCATCAACGAAGCCCTGAACTGCAGCTTTATTATCTCCATTCTGCTGGGACTAATTAATATCACCAAATATTTATCTGCAAGTTACTTTTGCTAAGTACAGTAACCAGAGATTTCCATGGGGAGAGGTCCAGAACTTCAAGATGGTAACCATGACTGCAGGAGAAGGACAGCTAGAGCACAGGGGTGGGGTTAAGAAAGGAATCAGCATGGGCACGGAATATAGGCTGAAATATAAATTTAGAAGAATGGGGAAAAGTATGTTACAAAAACTGCAAATTGACATTATTAATGGCATATAAAGAAAATCAGTACAAAATGCTTTATAGGTGGCACCTAACACCGGCGAGATTGGCCAAGATGTATACAAATATGAAACTGGACTGTTGGAAGTGTAAATATAAGGATGGAACATTTTATCACATGTGGTGGCAATGTCCTAAAGCAAGGAAATACTGGGAACAGATAAGGAGATGGCTACAGGAGACAACAGGAGAACAAATTGAATTTAAAGCGGAATTATTTTTATTAGGAATAATTAATCAAAAGATAAAGAAGCAACTCCAATATATTATTGTACACATAGTAACAGCAGCACGTATTGTCTATGCGCAATGCTGGAAACTTGAAAATATACCAGCTAATGATATGATTATCCATAAGATACTAGAATGTGCCGAGATGTATAAGCTTACGCTAGAAATGAAAGGCAAGGAAGAAACAGAATTTTATGAGGTATGGGATAAGTGGTATAATTGGTTAGAACAGAGAAATAAAAATGTATAGTAATAAATGTAAATAACTGTAAGAGATACATGACACAGTACTGTTAAAAAAAAGGAAAAAAGAAAAATGTTTATCATTTTGTAAATTGGAAAAATGAAAAAAAGAAAGAAAGAAAGGAATGAGCCTAGAGTTGTTACGTTCCTACAAATGGTCCAGGTTCAACCCTTCTTGAAGTCCATTAACTCTTATCTAGCGCCAATTTAGTGATAACTTTTAGTTGACTAGATTTTTATGTACAAATAGTCTTTGACTTACGACCACAACTGAGTCCAAAATTTCTGTTGCTAAGCAAGACAGTTGTTTGCCCCATTTTACGAACTTTCTTGCCACAGTTGTTAAGCGAATCACCGCAGTTTTTAAGTTAATGAATCTGCTTTTCCCACTGACTTTGCTTAGCAACAAAAACTTTGGGCTCAGTTGCAGTCATAAGCCGAGGACTATCTGTATACCACTCTTATTCCACACACTCCCGCTCTGTTATACATTTGTTTGATAAACAAAATAAAGAAATACATTTTAAGCGTTCTTTTGCCAACAGTAAAGAAGAGTCGTGTCTTATTGGCGACTTTTTCTTGATATTATGTTGAGCTTCCAGTCTAACCTACATTTCTAGTTTCCTGTCCGAAACCAAACTAGGTCTTAACCTTGTTTAGCTCTCCTGGTTTGTTTCAGTTTGAATGAATAGTAAGAAAGAAACCAGACATTTGGGGAAGTGGAGATTCAGCCAGAGTTTCATTCCATACAGCATTAACCTTGCGAACTCTCAAGCTTCCTCCTTCCGTTATATATTCAAGATGGACAATATTTAATATTTATTTGCTACGTATATGTAGGGATGTTGGTCTATACATATGTTGTTCATAGTATGTTTAGATGTGTGTCACGTATGTGTTTCACTTTGAGAGCGGGCAACTAAATTTCATTTTCGATGTGTGCCATTGTGCCCACAGTATAAAAATGACAATAAAGGTTATCTTATCTTATCTTATCTTATGTTCCTCAAAGATTCTAGAAGGCTCTGAAAACTGTTGAGCAATCTATCACCACAAGATGGCGCCCAGGAGCCAAGCAGAAGCCGGTGGTGTATGGAAGAGTAAATTATATGTCCCACATAGCACAAGGAGTCCTCGACTTACGACCTTTCTTTAGCCACAGTATGGCATTGGAACAAGTGAATTGGCACCAGCCCTCACATTGACAACTGTTGTGGAGTTCCTGTGGCCAAAATTTGGGCACTTGGGTAACCAGCATTTATTTATGATATTATTTGTTCAGTTGCTCGTGGCCATTTTTCACACTTTACAAG